CCATGGGTGGGATGTGGCATCTCACTGTAGCTTTGATTTGTATTTCTCTAATGACTAATAATGTTTGAGCATCTTTTTAAGTGCTTATTGGCCTTTTGTACATCTTCTTTGGAGAAAAGTCTATTTAAACCCTTTGCCCATTTTTAACTGGGTTATTTGTCTTTTTATTGTTGAGTTATAAGTTTTCTTTTGTATTCTGGATACAATTGCAAGTGACTTTTTTTCAAAGTAAATCAGATTTTGTTACTTCCCTATACACTACTCTCTAATGATCGCCTACTATGTTTAGAATAAAATCCAAATTCTTACTTTGGGGCTTATAAGGTCCTACATGATTCTGCCAGTTTCCCCCTCACGTGGTGCACTGTAGTTAGAGCAGCCTTATTCCTGCCCTTGAAATACATTATGCTCATTCACTGTTAAGTAAGGTACCATTGTATGTATTCCCATATGCCTGGTTATCAGACAAATTATCCTGAGAAGAAATTTTATCTATAGAAGCTCCCCCTCTACAAAGAGGAATAAAGAAACTTTTGGGGACATCAGACATGTTCACTATCTTGACTGGCAGTAATGATTTTATGGGTGTATACATGTGCCACAACTTTTCAAATAGTATACTTTAAGTATATGACATTTATTTTACTTGAATTATACTTCAATAAAGCTGCTAAACAAAAAACTCCTTTCACAATTACACCTTTATTGTCCTTATCTTCTCATACTTTATTTCCCTAGGAGAAATTGTCTGTTTGAAATCACCTTGTTTATTTCTTGATTTAAATGTTTCCTATTTCATTCCACTAGACTGAAAGTGCCATGAGGGCAGCAATGTTTTTCATCTTTGTAATTATTCTATACTCAGCATGGCTCACAATTAGGCTCAAAGGTTTAGAAGAGAGAACCACAGAAAATAGGAAGGGTAATTTTTCTATTCCCTCAGATTCACTAGTACTTTTAGACTTAAGGGGAATGAGATTTTTATTAAGAGCAGCTTTCTCAAACTCAATTGTGGATATCTCCAAGATCATTTTAAGAAATATAATTTACTGCTCAATTACTCTGTGGTCCTTCTAGTACTTTATATATATTCCCCCTTTGGTAGTGGTTATTTTTATAATAATAGTATTATAATAATGATAGCATAGCACATTATACTATGTAATACATGGTGATTTTGATTAATATATAGTATATAATAACTATAAAATCAGCAGTAATACAATAAAAATACTTGTTTTGCACTTGCTATTCGCTAGACATTATGTAAGTATTTTACCCATGTAATCTCATTTATTCCTCATATTAACTTTATGAATTAGGTATTCTTTCACAAAGGAATTTGAAGTTTAGAGAGGTGATTAACTACTCAAGTCACACAGCTGGAAACTCAAACCAAAGCTATCTTACTTCAAAGCCCATGCTTTTCCCATTCTGCTATAATGCTTCTCACATATTTTTATAATATAATGTTACTCCAGCTTGAGTTTAAAGCCCCTACTACCTGAGTAAGGTGTGCCCTTGAGAATGACACTAAATTCTGAAATAGGTTAGGAACAAATGTAGGGGAAATGGGAAGCTAGTTGACTGAGACTAAACCAGGATATTTTGAGCAAGGAATTTTTACTTTATTGCAAATTCCATGTCTAGCTTCATTTGACACTTAATTCTTATGGTTTCTGACTACTCTAGGGTAGCCTTGGTTTTTATCTAAGTTACTGGCCCTTGCTCTTCCTTTGCCACCTAAGGGTTTTATTGAAGAAATGCTGACCATGAGAGATCTAGGTAATCTTATCAACTTGGGTCCTGATTTTAAGAGCTCAGAGATGGGCATTTACCTTTAGTGCCAGGCGGCTGTAGGTTGTCTCCAGTCAAGGAACACCAGCCTACAGGGAAGATGTCCCGGGAGTCGAAGCGGCACCAGTAGTCAAAGGCCCCTCTCCACCCATCAAAAGTGACAAGCACCTCTGAGCCCCGCACCTCTCCAATAGTGGCTGGGCAAATGAAATGAGGGTTCTTCCTGTCCACAGCTTCTAGCTTCATTCCCATTTTGAAGAAGTTGTGGGAAGGTGATGGTGGTTCCTAGATAAGAAACATAAATATACAGACCTAGACACAGAGAGAGGCTATGTATGCCAAAAGACTGCTGACTCATTTGGATGACTAAAGAATGAATGCTATCTAAAATTTATAATGAAGATTTAGTCTTTTAAATGAATTTCAAAGCATACTAAAGTATTACTTTGTTAATCTTAACGTCTTTGCTTCAGATCATTCTTAAGAAATAAAAGGTAACTGATAAAGTTGGATGTCCTTTGTGCCCTTCCCTATTCTATTCCCCATGGATGTTTTTATACCTTACTATGTGTACATATCTATTTGCATACTTTAACTTTTTTTATAAGTGCTGGGCATACATATCATTCTACAACTTGCTTTTTTGTTGTTCAACATTGTGTTTTTTGAAACTTAGCCATATTGGTAAATTTAACTCTAGTTCATTTTAACTGCTAATAGTATTCCATTATATGTATATATAGCACAATTTACTCATTCTCTTTTGAAGGATATTTAGGGTTGTTTCCAATTGTTTACTATTTCAAAAGAGCTTGAATGACCATTCTTGCAATTGTTCCTTTGTACACATGTGGGTGGGTTTCTTTAGGGCATATACCCAGCAGTTGGGTATAAGATATATGTATACATCTTCTACTTTATTAAATATGGCTAAGTTGCCCTGGAAAGTGGTTGCAACATTGTAACTTTCTCCAACAGTGTGGGAAGTGTATGGGAGCTCATTTGCACAAAGTTTCCAAAAAAGTGTTTTATACTCTATTCTGTTCCCCTGGAACTTACTGTCTAATCCTGTACCACTACTAGATGTCTTATTAAATGGATATCTGGTAGAAAAAGTCACCCTACTTTGTCATTCTTCAATATTGTTTTGGCTATTCTTTCTCCTTGGTCTTTCATATTAATTTTAGAATCAGCTATTTGAGTTCTACAGAAAAACACTATTTGGAATCCAAAGAATTCACAGATTAATTTGGGAAGAAATTACTTTTGTGTGTATAATAATGAACCTTCCCATCCATGAACATGATAGTATTTTCCATTTGTTAAGTCTTCTTTAACACAGATTCTTAAATTTCCTTTATAAACATATCATTTTTTACTAAGATTTTACTGCTGTAATTTTACTGCTATCATAAACTGTACCATTTAATATTTTTATTTGCAAACCACCTGTTGCTGTTAAGAACGCAACTGATTTTTAAAAGCTGACCAGATGATTTAATGCTGCTTAGTTTATGCTGACTGATACACCATTTTTTTGTCTGCTTGATTTATTCAATTATTGAGAGATGTGTGGACCTTCCAATTTTTCTATGTAATTCTATGAAACCTTGCTTCACATGTTTTTTAGGAGAATGTACATTTGTAACTATTGTGTTTTCTTGGTGAATTTAGTGACTTCTTTGATGCTTTTTAACATCAGTCTCCTTTGTCTAAATTTAGTACAGTTCACACCAGCTTAATTTTGATAAAGATTTGCCTGGCATGTCTTTTGTTTTTACTTGCAACACTTTAATGTCATATTTTAGCAGTGTCTCTTATAAATAGCATGTAACTAGATTTAAGCTTATTTTTTGTGATAACTGTTATATTTAAATTTACTAAAATTATCATATTGCCTACTTATCTATTTAACCTGATTTTTCAAGGTTGTTTTATTTTCCTTTACTTACCTGAATTTATTTTCTTTTTCCTTCTCCATTGATTCCGATGTTAACCATTGTCTTTTAGTGGATCCCCTTAGGATTATAACTGTATAGTTGACATAATTAGGTCTAAAACTCTCATCTCTATTTCTAGCCCAAAACAACAGAAGAACCTTAGAATATTTTAACTACTCCTGCATCAATAGATGTTTGATAATTTAGTTCTACATTTTTACACTGCCAATAAATCACTTTTGTTGTTACAATTGTTATACAATTATAGGCAATGCTTGATTAGCTTTGCTCGTATGTTAAGCAATCTTCCTCATCACAACTTGCATCTCATTCCTACTTTCCAGGTTTTATTATCTTTTTCCTGAAATGTATTCCTCAGGTGTTCTTTCAATGGATGTGTTAGTGTCTACTGGTATTAGTTTGTTTGAAAATGTCTTGATTTTGCCTTTATTCTGAGATAGCAGTATATACCTAGACATAAACTTATAGGTGCACAACTATTTTTTCACAGAACTTTGAAGATACTATTTTATGATCTTTTGGCTTGTACTGCTGAGGCAAGAAATGTGCTGTTAGCCTAACTGTAATTTTTTTGAAGGTATTTTGTGTGATTACCTGCGGAGATCTTTTCTTTGATTTTGGTTATATCATAATGTTTTAAGGTATCTATTTGTGTTTATTAGACACTATGGAAAATTCTGTCATTATCTTTTCAAGTACTGACTTCTTTCTATTCTAATTAATCTTTGTGGATTTCATGTTCAGCATATATTGGACCTTCTAATATTATTCTCCTAGTCTCCTCTTTTAAGATTTTCCATCTCTTTATCTCTCTGTGCTGTATTCTGGGGAAACTCTTTACACATGTCTTTCAGTTAATTCTTTATCTATATCTAAGTTGCTTACACCTACCTATTAATTTTTTTTTTCGAACGGTTAAGTTTCATTAATGTATGTTCACTTGAGTTTTTCCATATCTGTCTTTAAAAACAGGTTTTACTTTTCTCATTTTAAAAATTATTTTTTATTCTTTAATCATTCTCAAATATTTAATTTATAATTTCTACCTCATATTCCTATTATCTGAAAGCCCTTGGGGTTATAATTTCATTGTTTGCTGTGTCTACTCATGTCCCCTCACGTTGGATGTGTGTTGGGAGTTCCTGAGGGCTCTGTGATTCTGAGTACTCATCCTCAGTGCTGCTTCACTTTTCGGACTTTTGTGACACCTGGGTTGAATGCAGCTAAACCTCCTAGAGAGGTTTTGGGTGTGCTTCTGCCAGGCATGAAGAAATATTTTCATGCAACTTTGGAGTTCCTGGACAACACAGGTACTTATTTTAACCCTCTATTTCTATGGGGCAAGACTATTTTATTTGAGGGGGTAACTCCATTCCCACCCCTACCCAGCACCTAGGCAGTGACTCTTCCTCATCAATGTGACAGTCTCTTCACTAAGAAGCAAACATCTGAGGGATCTGCTCTGTGTTTTGTATGTGGCAGAATCAGCTCTGCTTCCCTGCCCTGCACAAGCCCAAGGCTTTGTCTTCTATATGGAGTCTTTGTTGGTGCAGTTGTTAAAAGATAAGATCCTTGGTAAGTAACATTGGCAAAGGCTCTTAAGGCACCTGTAGGTTCAGTACATATATTTAACACTCTAGTTTTTCTTCATTTTGACCTCTGGAGAGTTTTCTTACTTCGTAGTAAGCTCAGCAAAGCATTTAAAAGAGTATTTTTTGGTCTCTTCCACCTCCCACCCCTATTTCGAGATATTCTGTAACGAAAGGGCTTTTAAGTTACCTAGCACAGTATATTCTTGGGACCACAGTGCTCTCATGTTTAGACTTAAATAGCAGCATAGGTAACCCTAATTCAGTCCCTTTTACAGTAACTCTAACCTCATTAAAGAATCCAATTCAGAGCAGACTGATTGCCTCTCCCCTGAGAAACAGGGAAGATGAATACAGGTTTTGGATTCCTGTTCCACCACTTACCAGCCAGGTGATCTTGGGCAAGTTCCTTATTCAAAATTTTTTGTTTCCTTAACTACTACATGGAAATAATAATTCTTGCTTCAGAAAGTTAACTGTGGTTATTAAATGAGATAGTATATGTAAACTCCAATCATACTATAGAGGCTCAAAACACAGTCTTCTTCCTTTATGTTTAGCATAGAGACCTTAAGGAACTCCCAGATCTATAATAAGAATAGTTCCTTTAGGTTTATATTACATGTTATATGTTTTACTAACAAACACATTTTAATTTCTTCACAACTCTGTGAGATAGACAGAATCCCACTTTACAGATGAGGTCTATAGGGCATAGCTTATTATTGTCAGATCTGGAACCCCAAAACCAGGAATCCTAGCTTATCCTATAATATTCCCCTGGAGATAATTGCTGCTTTATAAGGTACTAAAAAATCCTCCTGTGGAAGTAGTTTCTGAGTAGGCATCCTAAGGCCATACGTATAATGTACACATAAGAGGCTCAGTAATCAAAAGAATGTAAGCATCTGACTTCAAGCAGTTTGGAGGTGGTGATATCTGAGAGATACTTTACCTTGTGGAAAATCCTGATGGGAGCCATCTCTGCTCCATTTAGTGTCTTCAAAAGGAACATGGGCCAAGAGGAGGCATTCAGCCGAAATCCTGCAATAAACATAATAGGCAAAAGATAAACAATGTATTTCAAAGGGAATGATATCAAGTGATATCGAGTCTTCCCTTGGGAATCCAGCTACTCCTGCCACAACCTATGCTGTGATAGTTACAGAATCACAGACTGTTAGAAAAGGACTTAAAGGTTAAATTGAAGAAATGCCTCATTAGACAGATGAGGATATGAGGCACATTCAGGGAATGTAACTTGCCCAAGGTAATGTTGCGAAGTAAGTAGTGGAACAAGTCCCCAGCCAAGTTTCCTGACTCCATGACAAGTATTACAGAATATTTATCATAATGCCTAAAAGACTTCTCTTGAAGAATCAAAAATAGATGAGAAATAGTTAACAAGTACTTAGAAATATTCTAGACAGTACGGTGTGAAAGTGGATATAATAATTTCTTTAGAAGAAACCAAATATGTCAACTGATAAGCTGAATATACAAGTAAACTTTTTGGTTTATCTCAATATAAACTACTTCTCTCTCTCTATCTCTTTCACACACACACACACACATAGTACAAAACACTTTTTGATAATTCATTTTTACTTAAAACAGTAAAGATCAGGTAATGATGAGTATGGAAGGGATCATCCTATTCAAAAATATTTATTTTCCAGAGAGTAAAAGAAATCCCAGAGAGGTTAATTGTCAATTGTCATTCAGCAAGTAAAAGTCCATAAGAATGTACCATTTTATTAATAAATTATAAAAATAAGATTGTTTTTGCAATTAGGCTTTCCAATTAGAGCTCCAAGTACATCCTTCAATTTGGCTTTAACTGTGTCTCCCAATCTATCTCAGCTTTCTCATTCCAGACAAAAGAACAGATAGGCTACACCAAAGCTGCAGAGCTGGAATAACAATGGTGCCCAATATTATTGTGTGCTGGACATTGTGCCCATCACTTTCCCGCTTTCCACTGACTATCTAATTTAATACCCAAGACATCCCAGTGATGTACATATTATCTTGATTTTACAGATGAGAAAAAAGTAAAAAGTAAGCTGCTTAAGACTTCAAAGTGAGCAAATGACAATGACAGGATTGAAACCCAGGCAACCTGACTCCTGAGCCCACACTCTAAACCACTATGCTAAATTACCAAAGTACAGGTAAAATGAAAAAGAACCAGCTTTTGTGATTAGGTATTAATTAATAAATATAATTAAATTACAGGGGAGGTGGTGAGAATAGAGAAGAAACTGGAAATAAGAGAGTTACCATCCCACATGATTTAAACTTTTAGTCTCAAAGCTGTCTGGGCTAAGCCAAGCTTCCCAAGGTCAAGAGATTTCTTAGAATAGCTCATTTATATCAACAATAGTGATGCAAATGTGGATGTTTCTGTCACTCAATCTAAAATTGCTTATCTTTACTTTTTGGCTTGCCTAGCTATTTTTCCTTTTCGAAAAACTGAAGTGATTTGGTGAGCTTGTCTATTACATGGCTACCTGACCATGGAATGGAAAAAAATGTCATTTAAGAGTATCAGATTCCCCTAGACCAAGAGTGTGTATATATGTCTCAATTTGGGTCAACAGTTTTCTTAATATGATCTGCATGTTTGAGGAGACAGTCTTTCTTTCTGAGTTCTGGCTATAAAGATGTTTGTAGATTTGGCACTGCTACAAGAAGAACAGAATAAAGCCAACATAGAGCAAGAAATGGAGAGATATGAGTGTATTAAAAACTCTATGTCTGGACACTCCACAACAGGCCTTAGACTTCTCAGTTATATGAGTAATTCCTGCCTCCTCCTTTTTCCTTCCTCTAACCTGGTTTGAGTTGGGTTTTGCACTCATAACCAAACGAGTTTTGACTACTAGTTTTAGTTTGACCATGGTTTAAAAAAAATTAAATTTCTCCAGGAATCCAGACCTGGTCTGAATGTGGAGAAAATAGCTCTCCTTTAGTCAGAAAGGGTTGAAGCAAGCCAAATATAGAGCAGATTTGCTGTGAATGGTTCAGTATGCCTATGCATAAGGCAAAGTAAGGCACAACCATTGTTGAGAAATGCTCACTACACCCTGGTAAAAACAGTAGTAGGGAGGAATGACCACACAATTAGAAAAATCAGACTAATGTCCTCAGTGCTCAACAACGAGAGTGCCTAGCCATGCAACTCTCAATTCTCTTTTTTCAGAAAGGGGCTTCTATCGTATCTGGAATCTGAAGAGCTAAAAATAAAAAAATTCTTCTCAGCTCTGGAAATCCTTAGATTATTATAATAGCTAGTATGTATAATAGCTAATATGCATTCAATACATATTAATACCATGTATTAAGTATTTCACATGTAATTTCTTACTGGATATTTGAAATTATACCATGAGGTATACATTATTATCATTTTACTTTGCAGATGATGAAACAGAAACTCAAGAGAAGTAGCTTTCCCTGGGCAGCAAGTGGTAGAGGCAGATTCCATATATCACAGTCTTATTCCAGACCTCATGGCTCTTAATTATTATGTTCCACTAGTTCCTAAAAAGCTTCTTCAAGAGTGGAAGGGCAAAGCAGAAATGTTACCAACCCATGGAATTACTGAGATATCCTTTCTTCACCTCTCAAAGTGATGTGGGACCCCCCTTCCAAATTCAAACATATCCATAATCTATCTTGGGGAGTCATAGATAGAATTTTAACATTTAAAGGAACCTCAGAAGCCATATAGTATGAAGACTTTATATTGCGTATAGCTAGACTGAAGTCCAGAGAGGCTAAGAAACTCATGGTCACATAAGTTACTCCACATCAGTCTGGAGCCCCAGGACTTCTCATCTTTAACTACACTATGCTGCTTCTCAAAGGAGTATGTATTATGCACATATTATGTGCCAGGCTCCATGTGCTAAAAACTTTAAGTGGGTTATCTTGTTTAATCACTACTACAACTCTGTGAATTAGATATGGGAAAAGTTAATGGCATCACTTATTTAAACCCAGGTAATTGGAGCAAAAAGTCTAGAAGTCACCCTTGTCCCTCCTTTTCTATCACACTTCAAATACAATTAATCAGCAAGTCTTGGTGGCTCTTCCATCAAATGTATCCTACAAAAATGAGCCATTTCTCACCATTCTATGCTTCTTCCTCTGCTAACCACCCTGCTAACCATCCTAAGTTATAGTCAAACTTTGCCTGGAGTGCTCTAACAGCCTGTTAACCAGACATTCGGTTCCTATTTTTCCTCCCTATTGTCCATTCTATACAGAGCAACTGGAATGGTATGTTTTTTAAAATACCAATCAGATCACATAACTCTCATGCTTACATCCTGTAACACAATATAAATCTAAAGTCTTTATGTATGTTAACAAGGCCTACATGATCTGGAACTTGCTTCTTATAACTCATCTCCTAACACTCCCCTGCTCCTCCTTCATTGGTCTTTCTGTTCCTCAAAACACACTAAGCTGTATCCCTCTGCCTCAAACACCCTTGCCTTTCCTCAAATCTTTAAAAGTTCTTTGCTGAAATATCACCTCCTCAGAGAAGTAATCCTAGACTACCCTACCTAAAATAGCCTCCTAAATCCTGCTCCCTTTTTTTAATCCTTAGCTCTTATCACTGCCTGAATTTTATTTTTTCCTTGTAATGTGTATGTCTTTTCCAACTAGAATATAATCCGTAAGAGTTTTATAGAACAAAGGAAAAATCTCCACTTATTAAATGGATGTCAAGAATTAATAGATGCTTTATCAAGTTACTCCATTTAATCCTCACAAAAACCATGTGTGGCAGAGTTTATTAATGATCTGACAGATGAAGTTATTGAAATTCAAGGTTAAAAGTCAAGGTAAAGCAACCTACCAGTGGCCACACAACTAAACTAGGAAGCGGCTGAGCTAATATCACGAATTCAGATCTCTAACTCTAAACCCAAGTATGCAGCTAGTGTTCTGTGCTTACCTAGGATTTATTTTAAGAATATTTATTAAGAACCAGTTATAAAGACTTTTCTGATGCTCCCAAGGCTGTAGGCCTACTGAATGAATTAGGGTCCAGCTATTGAAACTCAGTGACCTGAGGAAGCGCTGGACTTAAATACTTGTCCTCAGTTGGTCTAGAATATAGTCAGAGTTCATGCCCTCTGGTGGCAGGTAACAGAACAGCACCTGTACCAGGAACCACATGCGTGGGCCCCATTCTCCACTCTGCCATTGTCCTATAGAAATTCCAAGCTTTGTGCAATTACTGGACTCTATGGCTGTCAAAATGATTCCCAATTCATTCTCTCCTCTGAGAAGAGCTTTACATACATGTACATATACACTATGTACAGAAATATGCCACTAACTCATTGTACAACCATGGACAACTCATTTCCCTTTCCTGTTTGTGTACTTGTCAGATGAGGACACTGAACTAAAGCAGTGCTTCCAAATTGAGTTTGGGTGTAGCTGTCTATCTGATTTTTACCCCAAGAGTGAAAGAAATGGGAAGTGGAACTGGAATAGAGGTGCTGAACAAATGGTCTTCCCTGAGGAAGAAGTGAATATGCAGCCTGCTTGTTTTTGGGAAGGACTGTTAGGACTTCTTTTAGTTCTGGCAGGACTCTGTTACCACTTCACTGTTACCTCCCATATACATACTCAGATATAAATTCATTCAGATTAATTTAATTGGGGTGAGGGTTGTGACTAATCTTGAGATAGGCATAGGTATGGATGGGTCTAGCTTTACCTAATGCCAGGGGCCTTCCTGCAGAGAAGAGGAAATTCAGTGGATCTTTTTTAGATTACCTTAAAAAAATTAGCACTTAACACACCATGGGTTAAAGTTACTTATCTCTAAAATTTTGCAGGTTCCTCCACAAATTTCCTTAAACAAGAGATCAAATTTCTGTGACGGCAAAATGAGATATGCATCTTTTTAAATTCCCCTTTTTTACAGACAGGCCCTGGAGGCTATTCAGCAAATAAGAAGACCAATCAGTGACAAAATATACAAAGGGTTCCTTTCAAAGTCAATGTACCACTTA